GAAAGATTAAATTTTGAAGGGTAATTACAATTGGGGAAGAGGATACATCATAAGCAAATTATGAATTTACCCATCTTCCAGGTTTCCCAACAAGTTGCAGGTAAGTTTTCTAAGCCTAAGTGATTTGGGGTGCAAAGTGCCAATTATGTTTAGAGGGTGCAATCTGTCAATTTTGCAATTTAAGAATACAAAGTGTCAAAAAGGTGTAATTCAAAGGTGCCAAGTACCAAAAACCCTTCTCTTTATCTAAAATGAAATAAAACAAGGAAGACATAATATATACATATAAAGAAAACTCGGATGATCAAGAACCCAAACTCGAAGATTCAATAAGTTAAATCGTGCAAAACGATCACTTATTAGTAGTCGATAGGTAGGGTAGTATGGTAAAAAAAAAAAATATATATACAACCACCCCCAATGCCGTAGTGCAATTTATTTAATTTTTAGTCCTTTTATTTTCCTCATTTTCTTCCAGTATCCATAATATTTTTTAATTATATAATTTGTACATATTCAATGTTTTTTTTTCATATTTATAGACTTCTCTATCATATTTTCTCGAATTATACAAAAAAGAGCATTATGGTTGATTTTTTTATTTAACTCTTTCTCTCTCACACACACACACACAATACATAATCAAAATGAGAAAATTGGAATCGAAATCGGTGGAATTCAACCATTCAAATCCGATTTACACCTCTAGTGGCTAGTGGTGACCCTCCCTTTGCCCTAAGATTACGAAACACAATCGTTTCGTTTATCTGACCGAGTCCCCAAACAAAATGAAACTACTTGAAAAAGAAAAAAAAAAATGAAACTAAGAAGCAACATAGGATAGATGAAAGGGAATTGGGAAACCAGTAACTATTCTACTTATGAAAGTAAGAAAAAAGGTAGGGCATATGAAAGACAATAATGAAGCTTTGTCGCTCATTTGTTCATCCCAGTGGCATTCTTCACAGCATCAACTGCACCTTGTGCCTTTGCCTGAGCCTGCTGTCCAGCCTATACACGCAACAATTCCGATATATATATATATAACCACAAAAAATTACGTACATAAACGACGAAATGGCATCCAATAAAATTAGTAATTATCATATATACATTGACAAAAATAATATATATATATATATATATATATATATAAGTAATTTTTGTTTAATTGAAAATCAATGATAGGTTTTCGCATGCATGCATATTATATATACCTCCTGCATGGATTCTTTGGCTGACTGCGCAGCATTGCTAGCCTTCTCCATCATCTGGTTTCCCTTTTCCTGCATTAATATGGAAACAAAAAATCAGTGTGTGCGTGTGTTTGCGTGCACGCGTGTGCGTATGTTTGCGTGTGTGTAGAAGAGTAGTCAACCTGAGCTTGGCCCTTGGCCTCGCCGGCTTGGTAGCTCATGTTGTTGGAGTTATCCATTTTCTGATTATTACGAAATTAAATCTGAAATATTTAAAAAATAAAAACTAAACACAGAGAATATATATAGAATGTATGAAACTTGGGAAATACAAAGCTGGTTGGTGATTGAAATGTATGTTAGCAATGGTTATTTATACAACTGAGGGCTACCTAATTAATTAAGGTGTTGCCACTTGTCTCAAAGGGGAGTAGCTATTCAAAGGGGAGAGCTATTCACATGCTTGGTATTCAACTAAGAATTAATGGTCCAAATTAAATTTATCTATTAGGGTAATTATAGTTTTGGTCCTCAAGTATGCAATTTTTTAACTTTTGGTCCCCCATTTACTGCCGTCAACAAAATACATACTAACGTTATCACATTTTAACACATTGAGTCCCTTCGTCTGTTTGACAGTCAAGAAGTAACGGTACGTTTGAATTAGGGATTTTTCTTTGAAAATAATACAATAAGACCCCTGTATTTTTTCAAAATATTCTAAAACCCCTAACATTTTATTCAACCATAATTTAACCCCGATTTCATCAGTTAACCAATTTTAACCAATGGCCCTGATTTTTCAAAATAGGTTAATCCGACGTTGACTTTATTTTTGACTCGGTTGACGCTTTTTTCGATTGATTTTCTTTTTTGACGTTGTTGACCGATGTTGAATGTCGGGTTAATAGCGTTGTCTTTTTTCCTTGATTTTTATTTTATTTTTATTTAAATTGTTGAGTAGCGGGAAAAAATATAGTTTAAAAAAGTCTAAGCTGATAACCGCCGAGAAAAATAATATCATTAAAAAAATCGATATAAAAGAAAAAAAGGAAAACTTCAACGCAGCTCAATGACAAAAATAAATTAAGACAAAAAAAAAAGGTAAAAATCAACAGCTGGTGTTAGCCCAAAAAACCGTTGTACTAGAGTGGTCAAATTACTCCGCACATGCCTAATTCATCTTCTTTATATTTTTGTGGGAAGAAATTTGGATGCACAGGCAGTTGCATGAAGAAAAATTTGAGAGGAAGTAATTATGGATTTTTAGAATTTTTTAAATTTTATTTTGGCCCCAAAATTTTAAGATAAAAACTTTGTTAGAAGTTTGTAATTTTAATTTACGATACTAGATATTAATATAATATTATAATTGTATTATACATTAATAATATTGCGTTAATCAGAAAAAAAAAAAAGTCACAGGAAAAAGTTTATAAAAAATAAAGAAAAATAAAAAAGTCAACATTGTTAACCAACATTGCAATGTCGATGAACGACGTCAAAAACAATATAGAAAAAACTCAATGCCCAAAAAAAAAGTTATAAAAAAAAAATCAACGGCGGTCAACGGTCAGCGGTAATGGTGGTCAAAATCGGGATCGTTAGTCCAAAAGTGACTAAATGATGAAATTGGGTTAAATTAGGTTTGAATAAAAAATTTAGGATTTTTTAGAATATTTTAGAATGCAAGGGATATGAGTGTAATTTTCTCAATGAAAAATCTCAAATTCAGCCCTGATTCAACAGTTGGCCGTTATTTCTTGACTATCAAACAGACGGAGGGACTCAGTGTGTTAAAATATGACAACATTAGTATATATTTTATTGACGGCGGTAAATGAAAGACAAAAAGTGAAAAACGTGCAAATTTTATCCCAAATTATTATATATCTTGAGAAATGAGAGGTACATTTACTTTACTATTATTATCTTCTTCTGTTTTTATTAGTGGGTAGCTATTTAGTACGGAAACTTCAATTTGTTAAAGTATCTGCATGTGTTTTGGACATGTTTCGTGCCCGGCACTCAAGAACACCTGACAGACACCTTATGGGTCATTTTACAATTTATGAAAAGTTAAAGATGTTTGAATAGCAATTTTTCAATTTATTGTTGTTTTCCTAATTATTTACATGATTTAATTATCAATTGCAAATTAATAGTTGATAATAACATTTATTTTGAATATATTTGTACGGAAATATATAAAAATAATTTATATATATGTTACTATAACATATTTATAAATATACCCCTATACTTTTATATTTACATATTTTCTCCAAGTTCATGTATTCCCATTTTTGGGACACACCGTTTTTCCGTGTCCGTTTCTCCATTTTCCCATATCGTTATTTTCGTGTCCGTGCTACATAGGTGGGTAGACATATTTACATACAGTTAAGGGCTCGTTCGGATGACAAGATATATTATTGAAGATAAGATAAGTCATTATAATATAATATTTGCGACAAGTTATTGGAATACCAAATAACTAGCAAAGTTCAGTTATAAAGCTAATCATAGCAAGTCACCTCAAACAAACGAGGTGTTGGATATAAGAGCATCTCCCGCCCTTAATACCATTTTTCCACTAAATCCTATTTTTTGTGGTGAAAAAATGTTGTTATCTCCCACTTGTAGCACACTATTCTATAAATTATCTATTTTTAGTGACAAAATAGTGTATTTAGTCTCCCACCAATTCCATCAAATTTTACACCAAATAATAAAATATTAATATTTCACCATTTTACCATTTATAGAGAATAGGATTTGGTTTGATCTCTCATGGCATTTCACCAAATATATTACAAAATTATAAGTTTAATGTTAATTGTAAATTTAGTCTATTTTATCACAAAAATATTGATTATGAATTTGATCTTAAACAATGATTTTATTAAGTATGTAATTTAAAATTTTTGATAAATATCAAAAAATTATTGAAACATGAATGAAAATCGACTTAGATTATTAATCATATAATAAAACCACAAATAAATAATCATTTCATTAATTATTGCCTAAAAACCTTACAAGATAAATTAATCATAAAAACATTACAGCATAAATTAATCATAAAAACATACTACATTTTTTTTGGCCAAAAAAATTATTTCACTGATAACAAGGGCCTCGTTAAAATCTTGTTTGAAAACTAATTCACTAATTAACACTAATATATTTACTATAAGCGTATTTATAAGTTGGTAATCACATGAAATTAATTAATATAATAATTTTATATGCTAATTATAAAATGGTGTTAATTACACAAAATCCTATTTTCACTTCCATATTTGATAGGAAAAATAGGATTTGGTGGAAAAAATGGTAAAATGGTGGATGGGTGGGAGATGAAAAAAATTTCACCAAAAATTGTGGTAAAAATATAGGATTTAGGGATATAGTGATATAGAGTTTGACCAGGGTGAGAGACTAAACTAAATCACTATAATTTTAGGTGTAATGGTGACTTAGAAATTTAAATTGGGAGACTAAAAACACCTAAATTAGATGATAAATATGAGATTTGGTGATGGGTGGGAGATGCTGTAAACCAAATATTTTTGAATTTTAAAATTTATCTTTCAATAATCACATTATTCATTCACCCCACCAAAATATATACCCATAGGATTTCTCGTGCGTACCATCACAAGCTTTGTACGTGTAAAGTGAAATTAATGACTCTTTAAGTCTTTTTCATGTCTTTTGTTTCACGTTTAAAATCCCAATTCAATGAACACACGAAGCTTAGGTTCAAAGAATGCACGAAACCCAAAGAGAAATCAAGAACGTTCCACGTCACAACAAATGGTATCTTATATATAAAAGAAAGAAACGCTGGATAACCCTAAGAAAACCCAAATGGTATTTCTATAATTATTTATTTTTAATTTTTTTCTATACTAATTTTCAACATTTATCAATCTTCTATTTCTCATCAATATATCTCAAATCTTAATATATAAAGACATAAATTCGATTTGTTAAATCTAAACATATATATTTGGATTATAAATCTTAATATGTAAGATTTAAAAAAACTAATGTAATATAAATTATGAGTAATGTTATATTATTAAATTTTACTATGTTAATGTACTATATTTTCTTATTATGTATTAAATTGATTTTTTTTTTCACTTTTGAAATAATATCCCGTGCATCGGACGGGGAAAAAAAGGCTAGTTGAGACAAAAAGAATCAAATAAATTTTCACACGGGTATTTTAAATGTTTAATGTATTGTATTTTTTATCTATTTTTAAAAATACATGAGTATTGAATATTGTTATTTTGTAATTGAACCGAATTTCAAGTGTATCTATCAATTATGTTATTCGAGTTTTTTTTTTTTTTTTTGGCTCGAGCTCTAGTTCGAATTCATTTTGAATCTAGCTCTTCTTGTAGTTTTTTTTTTCTCCATTTTGTCTATTTTTTACTTTTTTGTATTTTTACTAATATTATTAGAATTTATTATTATAAATTACAATTAAAAATTGAAATAAAAAATGACCGGTAAATTGATTTTTTAATTATTTATATGAACTAATTATTTAATTATATTAATTATACTTAAAATACAAATAAATTAATTAATTAAATAATAAAAAAAAAACTTGTGAGCCGACTTGCGAGCTCAAGAACAACTAAGAATGAGCCAAACTTGAATCATCAGAAAGTTCGAGCTCGAAAAATTGGTATTCGAGCTTTTATCGGGCCACCTCACCGAGCTCACAAATGTTTGAAAAATGGCATATATTGATATCATTTTAATTCTTCAAATCACAACATCCACTTATGGAAAATAAATAAATAATCAATTTCGTTTCGCATTATTATTATACAAATCACTGAATCAGCCATAACCATAATTCCCAGCAAAAATAAATAAATAAATAAATAAAATCAGCTAGTAAATATTTCATGAGATCATATACTTCTTTAATTTTAAGGTTACCAATTCCGAATCATCACAATTTTTCGAAAAATAAATAAAACTAAATCAAAGAAAAGAAAATACATGTATTTATATATATTTATATTTATATATATATTTTCTCCTGCTGCTTGTGGTTGGGATGAAAAAGAAGCCATTTTTAATATTGAAAAACAATACCATCATCTTCCTGAATTTCCGGGCCGGTCTGAACCGGGTCCACGTCATCACCTTCTTCACCCTGAAAAATGAGTTCTTGATTTTGTCAGCGAAGCTCTGTTTTCTGGAGAACTGGTAGCTTCTCAGAAACAACTGCCTTTTCTCCATCTGCTCTGTGTAATTACTACCCATGTATAATTTGATTGCCATTTTTCTGCGATCTATACGTACAGCATCTATATGTATGTATATTGTGATTTGTGTGTAGTGTGATGTTTTTTTAGAGAGAGAAAATAGAAAGGTTTTATATTGGCGTTCAGCGACTGATACGGCGTCGTTGAAGTCGCACTTAGGTTTTGTTTTTGACTTTTTTTTCTTTCGGTAAATTACGAAAATACCCTGAACTTAGACTAAATTACGACAAATACCCTCAAATATTTGTAACTATCAAAATTTCCCCGATTTTGTTTTCATCTTACACCGACCCATTTACAGTGGATTTTTCACGGAATCTTTTTTTATTCCAAGGAATATTTCACAGAAAAAATGTCAATTATAATATCCCTACGGACGTGACATTTCTTTATGCTACTTTTTAGAGGCAAAAATATCCTTTGGGGCATTTACACGAAATATTTATTCTTCTTAGAAATAATACATTCACAACTTTTTAGTATTACCGTTACTCGTCTCAAGGTAATTTTTGTATTTAAAAAGTAGCATAAAAAAATGTTACTTTTGCAGGGGTGGAATTAACATTTTTTGGAAAATATTACGTGGAATAAAAAAGATTTCGTAAAGAATCTCATTGTAAGAGGGTCGGTGCAAGACGGAAACAAGTGTCAGGAGGGTTTCATAATTACGGATAGGTGGAGTGTTTTTCATAATTTAGTTTAAGTTCAAGGGGTTTCGTAATTTACACTTTTTTCTACTACTAGAGCATTTCGAGTTTTTTGAGTTTCTTTTTATTTTTTCTTTGTTTTGTTTTGTGTTTTTTGTGTTTTTTTTTTTTTTTTGGCATACAAATTACGAATTAATAACTATGCATGGGATTTTAAGAAAAAAAATATATATAATATGACTAAGATATCTCATGTAATTCTTTCTCTAATTAATTATTATTTGTTTTGCATGTTAGAATTATTGATTGAAATAATTTATGAGTAACAAGGACAAAATTAAAAATCGAATAATCAATGCATCATTGCAGTATAATGTTAGAGTGACAAATAATATTGAATACGAAATTTCTCAAAAGAAAATATTTAATTTGAAATTAATGGAGTTTAGTGATGAAAGTTTTCTAATTTTAAAAATTTAAACTATTAAAAGATGACAAGACCGTTGTTCTGATAAGTGATTACCATGAGAGTTAATACACAATATCATGACATTAAATAAAATTATTCACACGAGTGGTAAAATAATTAAATATTTATTATTATTATTATTTTGTAACATGTGCCACTACTACGTATTTATTAGGCAATATGACTTTGACACTACTATTTCAATTCAATATATTTCATTCGCAGCTTGTATCATACGATGTTGGTGTCGATAAGGAATAAGGTCACGTGAAAAAACTTATATGTAATTTATTTTTCTCGCATGGTTTGCAAGCAGTATATTAACAGACATGATTATTTTATTACATACTTCAAATCCACCAAATTGACTCTTTGCAAAATTTTCATAGTGGACTTTGTTGAAATAACAATTTTATTTATTTATATTTTGTCACGTCAAAAGGAAGTTATGCAAAAGAAAATCATTGAAGAAAAAAGAAGACTTCAAAGTTGGGTTTAACAAGGATAGGGATGGCTTAAGATAATATTATAGAAGAAAACAGATAATTAAGAACAAATACTTTGTCTTAAGCTCTAAGCTTTCTTTTTCTTTTCTTTTTTTCTTACATAAATATAAATACCCTTCATTATCTCTAATCTTTTCTTAATTACCTCATGAGCCAATAAATCCCGTGTTCGGAAACAAAATTGGGTCTTTGAGACCCTACACCGGGTAATTATTAACCGTTGATGTGGTGAATTAACTTCCTACTGAGCACACATAATCATGGGTACGATGTGTATGTGATTGTGTACAGATCAACAGTTAATAATCACGTGGTGTATTTCACCGGGTGTAGCATAAAACAAACCCAAGTATATAAATATAAACATCTTCAAACACTATTATTTTGGGTAAATTACAACCACCCCTGAGGTATGGTCAAATTACGAAAACCCCCATCATGTTTGAGTAATTACGACCATCCATCAACTATAAATCTTCTTACACGTCCACACTTGCGATTTCAAATTTAGTGGAATTTTCGAGATTATATGGAATATTATCACTTTTGTACCCGTTTTATCCCATTCGAGCTCTACATTTTGATGCAAGATGATCATAATATATGTTTTTTGGCTTGTATATATCAGATTGTGGTGCATCAAAAACTGTATTTTTACACAAAATGAGTACAAACTAGAGCACATTCCACGAAATCTAGATGATTATTTTGAATTTGACACCATAATAGTAGAGGTGTAAGAAAAAATCATAATTGAAGGGGGTTATGTAATTATCCAAACAAGAGGGGTTTTTTTGTAAATTGACCTGAGGGGTGGTTGTAATTTACCCTATTTTATATGCAGGCCCGGTTCTGAGGGAAGACAAGAAAGGCGGTCGCCTCGGGCTCCCGATTTTTTATGAATTTTAGGGGCCCCCGATTTCAGAAAAATAGTCCTTACACATTAGTATTTATTGATAATATATTCAGAAAAGAGAAATAAAAGAACTATGATAAAAATTCGTCAAGTCTTTGTCTTTTATTCTCCGTTATCTCATTCTTCTTGTTCTAAGGTTGCGTAAAAAAAGTCCAGATTTTCGTAATTAAGATTATCTTATATAGGTGTAATTAAGACTTGGATACTGGTAAACCTCTATAGATTAATACAGTTGGGAGCACGGAAATTCTATTAATTTAGTGAATTATTAAATTATCGAGTTAATAATTTAACACGTTTTCATCGAGTCGGGATCGAGAGAAACTATTATTTAGTCAAGATTATTAATTTATCGAGGTAGAACCGAGATTATTAATTTATCGAGGTTCTACTGTATATAGGAGTTTCTTTGTGCAATTAAAATTCCTATAATGTGCCGTTGGGGAACTTCGGACGACTGTCCGGAATTTAGTTCATTTTCTCATACGACCGCCTTAACCTTCTATTAGATTATTTTTCCTTTCGGGACGGCCGTCGAAGAATCAACTGAAATCTCCAGACGACCGTCTCAGTTCTTATTTTGGTCTGCGGTTGGTTGTTTTGCCTTTATGCCCGTTCTTTACCGTTCCATCCTCTAGACGTCCGATTTTTCAATTTGTACGTAAAATACAATTACCAAGTCATTAAACATCATTCAATCAATAAAATTCCACAAAAATACTCATTTATTTGCTTATGACTCTCTAATCAAAACTCCATCCATAAACTCAAATTGTATTTCAAATCAAACAAAAATATATCTACAATTATTGTTTTGAGGTTTATGAGATTTCATTGAACTATAGACAAAGTAAGATGTACGTAGTATATTCAAGTTCAGTAGAATTAATGTGACTCTATGATGCATGGAAATTTCTGCACACACGCGTTTCCACAGTTGCGGAAATGTTACAGAAACCGAAACGCCATGACATCTGTCGGAAACGTTTCAGAGCCATTTCCATAAATATTTAAAAGTTTCCGGAACGTTTCTATTAATAATAAATATTTCTAGTAAAAAAATTCAATACTCATGTTAAATGAGCTTGAAAAAAAATCTCAAATCTTATGTCTGATTTTTACTTATTGTGGTGTTGTAATATTTTGTAGATGCCAATTTCATACTGAAATAAATTTAAATGCCCCGAATGTAATTTATGGAATGATAATTTGGATTGACGATACGTTATAATAACTTTAAACAATATAATAATAGATGTACGCCTATATTTTTAATATTTACATATTTCCCACGTTTCCATATCCCACTTTTTGAAATACATGGAGTTTTCCCGTGTTCTTTTCCCCGTTTCGCCGTACCCTCGTTTCCGTTCCCGTACTACATAGATGTGAGTTGGAATAAAACTAATATCAGTTTGATAAATTATACAATCATTTAGTAAAATTAAGTTCAATTCAGTAAGACATACATCAATTTAGTTAATCTCAACATGATTAATAAGTTGCTCGTTGGTCCTAGTAAGCTGTCAAAAACTATGGGGAAATTTTAATTGTAATCAAATATATATTTTTTAAAATCATATTCTTAATAAAAATAGTTTGATGAATTTTAATCCTTTTTTTTTAATAAGTAAAAGAAGATTTAATAAAATGAAAATGAATAACAGTTGGCACAGTTACAAAAACAAACTAAGATGAATGAGATTAGAGAGGACAACTCTATCACAATTAGAATTACAAGCCAACTTAGCGTTAGGCAGACGATTTTCTTTCTGGCTTAATTCCATTTTCCACCCTTGAAATATAATTTTTTGGCATTTTGCACATTCAAAAAAATTTAATAGCATTTTGCATCCTTAAAACACAATAATCGTACATAATACATCCTGAATAAGTAATTTTATATTTTTAATGGTATTTTTTTAGGATGCTGAATGTCAAATCATTTTTTTTTTCATATTCCTCAATCCTTTCGAACCTTTAAAGTGAAAAAAAGGAAATACATCTTCCACCAACATCTTAAAAATTATATTTTTTATCACAAAAAAAATCCTTTCGCTATTTTGTTATCAAGTTATTTGGAAATTATATTTTCTTCCAAAGTTTTATATCAAATATCTTCACCAATTTCAATAAAAGATTTATCTAACGAATAATTCAATGAGAAAAAAATATTTTATTTTCTGTTTATGAGAAAATATAGTTTTTTTCAGTCATTTAGTGTGATTTTTCTTTTTTCGCACTTCTCGAAATTAGGTTATATATGAAATTGTGTTCATTAAGTTTTAACTATTCAATTCATCGTACAGTACATCGATTCATTGCGTTTCGAAGGTATAAAAATGCTACTAATTTTTTTCAAAGGTGCAAAGTATCAAAATACTACATTTCAAGGGTCCAAAGTGTAATTAAACCAATATTTTATAGCTAATTCTACCTACTCAAAATTAATTATTCAAATAACCCTAAATATCGGGGATTTTGGTTTTCTATTTTTCGCTCTTTCTAATATTTCAAAAGCTTATCCTTCGTCATATTTTGCATTTGCTAAACAAATGACAGCGGAGAAAAAGAATTAACTGAGCCGCCATTATTGCTTATCTGCCCCACCACCGCCCACCGGCGCCTCCACCATTTTACAGCACAAGCGGTTTTTTTTTTCCGGCTCTGTTCAACAACAGAGATCTGATTGGTCGATCGCTTTTCCATTTGTAATTTTTGTGTTTCTCCAATAACTGCCGGCCTCGATTCTGTCGATTAGGTGATTCAATGAATTTGACTCGTTTTTGTTGTTTTATTTCTTCTAATTCTTCTTCTTCAAGATTGGTTCCTGCTCGTAATTATTTTTTTTAAACTTGTTATCAATTCTTATGTTGCTGATTTTAGGCAACCCCTTTTGTTTTTTTGGTTCGTTTTCGAAGTTTTGATTGAATTTTGGGGCTTGTGGGTTTTACCGTTTATGTTCAAGTTCTTAGTGTCATTTTATCGAACAGTTTGTGATCATCTTTTTTTCATTTGTGTTTTCTTTCAGTTTTTTTGGGGGTTAGGGTTTTTTCCGAGTTCAGGAGGAATTTTGAGGAAATTAGATACAAGTTATGCCAATTCATTGGAAAGGCAAATGATTGGATGCTAGTCTTGAGGTTTGTTCGTTTCTGCACGTTTATTAAATTGAGTTATTTTTGCTAATATTTCTTGATATTGACAACAATTCTGTTATATTTGTAGATTTCTTTTGGAGAAGAGCGTTCTTTAGGGTTTGAAATCTCTATAGCCCGTGTTGATAATGGGGCCAATATACTATATACTGATAGCACTGCCTTGTACAATTGGGGCAATGACGTTGACGATTCTCCATATCTACAAACACCTGTTGAATTATACGGAGCCCACGTATCAGAGATACATTGTCCGCATCATCTTTATGGTTCCTGTGAGTGTCTTACTATTCTGCATTCGGCTTTCTGATTTACACTGTTGAAAATTTTCAATTGCTCATTGTCATAGTTGATATCTTCTCGTTAACTGATACGATCCTATGCTTATTCAATATGCACTTTTTTTGTTCGTATTCTCGTTAACAACTAGTGTAAGCTTGTGATAGTTTCCCTAGAGAAATTGATTTCTGAGTACCAACTTCAGCTAAATTTTGATAAATTGGGTGAGAAATAGTTTAAATGTTATAGCTTTTGGGGGAAACCATTTCAAACGAAAACTTTCAACAATTTTAAGGGAAGTTCAAGTAAGGATGAATATAAAAATATCCTTGAAGTTTGTCCTGCTTACGTAAAGAATCCGACTAACTTCTGAAATTTATCGACATTCCTTCAAGCTGTCTTTGTTTTACCAAATGTCCGTCAACTCTAGACTCTAAACATCGACCTGCCAAAACTTAATTAATGAAGCGTAAACTTTGTCCTAAATGCCATGTCCAATTTATATTGCTAATGGATCGAGAAAATAAGTTTGTATGTATGTATGTATATGTATGCTAATGACAACAAAAAAAGGGGGGAAATTGGCATGTTCATTGCAGATGGATGTTTTAAATTACCTTTATGTTTTTTCGAATGCATTCTGACCATCTTGGCATCGGTTCTAACAGGTATATGCATTGATGTCTTTCTTGTCCTTGGTCCTAAATGAAAGCGCAATTTACTTCAATTCAATCAGAGAAATGTAAGTATGACGATGTCATTTACTTTTTTCATCTTCTTCTTCTTTGTTTTTAAAGCAAATGACTGGTTAATCTATTATTAAGAATTGAAAAGTGGTGAATACATAACAGTTTTGATCGTCATCTAGCTTATCTTAATTTTCGAAACAATCTCTTTCCTCTCTCTTAAGTCTTACCCCTCATTTACCGTTACCCCTGTGGTTGAGTGGTACCTCTCCCTTTCTTGTAGTGGAGGTCCTGGTTTCGATCCCAGTTGTGTGCGTGCATGTATGGCCATCATATATATATATATATACTCTTATACTTTGAATAGTTACATATTTTCCCCACTTTCCCGTGTCATCTTAGTGGGATATGCCATTTTCCAATGTCTGTTTCATGTTTTGCCGTTTTGGCGTTCTCGTGATTGTGCATCGTAGGTCTGCTACATACAGTGCATCTTAAATACCGTGAAAGTAAATTACGGGAAGTAGAGCACATCTTGGACGGTGTAGAATCGTCTATCTAGCTGTTTGAACTTGCATGATGAAGCCAAATATGCTATTTCGGTCCAGCTATATTTCTGTGATCGAACCTTCAATAGCAATGATTAGTACTGAAACTATTGTAGTTCATGCTTTATTGATCGTGTTTTTGCTTTATGAGTTTCACAATTCTTAATCCGATTTCGCGTCTTTGCAGATATGAAGCTTGGGTCATCTATAATTTCTTATCACTGTGCTTAGCATGGGTAGGCGGTCCAGGAGCTGTCGTGGTGAGTCTATCTGGCAAAGTTATGAAGCCAAATTGGTGCTTGATGACATGTTGCTTCCCCCCGATCCCGCTCGATGGGTAAGTCATCTACACATAAAACTATCAATTGGGATACATAAAAAAATAAAATTGACAGTTGTTTTGGGATAAATATTTTCCGTGAAGTACTGATACCAGGTCAATGTTGCGCGATTTTGTGTTGGTTAACTTATGGCATTTTTGGTGCGATGCAGGCGCTTTATACGAAGGTGCAAACAGGGGTGTTTGCAGTTTGTGATCCTGAAGCCGATTCTAGTTGTAGTAACTTTTGTACTTTATGCAAAAGGGAAATATGAAGACGGGAATTTCAACCCAATGCAGTCATATCTCTACCTCACCATCATCTACACCTTCTCATACTCGGCGGCACTTTATGCGCTGGCCTTGTTTTATGTTGCTTGCAGAGATTTGCTTCAGCCGTTCAATCCAGTTCCCAAGTTCATCATTATCAAGTCTGTCGTATTTCTCACTTACTGGCAGGTACGGTACTGGTAAAAAAACTCAGAATCGAAAGCCTTGCTTGCATATATCAGTTTCTTTCACTCGACTATCGTTATAGTTGCAGTCAATTAAAAGAAGAAAAAAAAAGAAGCGTAGCTTCGTAGCTTCTATCTGGTTTATTTAAAGCTAGTGTTGAATAAGAATCTTTCTCGTGCAGGGCGTTTTGGTCTTTCTTGCTGCAAAGTCCGGATTGATAAAGGACGCGAAAGAAGCTGCAGAATTCCAAGATTTTATACTGTGTGTCGAGATGCTTATTGCTGCTATTGGCCATCTTTACGCCTTCCCTTACAGAGAATATGCCGGTGCAAATATCGGCGCAAATCCCGGCTTCACTGCAAGCCTTGCACATGCTTTGAAATTCAACGACTTTTACCATGACACAGTACACCAGGTAAAAGATCGCAAAAAGTAAAAATAAAAATAAAATGAAAAATGAAAAGGTTCCAATCTAAACCACATCTTTGTATAATCTCTTCGTCGGAGTTTTAATTAGTTCATATTATTTTATTTTTCTTCAGTTTGCACCAACGTACCATGATTATGTGCTGTACAACCCTAGTGAGAGTGACGAAGGATCAAGAAAGTACAGGGCGCGTACTTTTGTACCGACGGGTTCGGAAATGGATACAGCAAGGAGGAGCAAAGAAGTGTTTGAGAACAAATTGGAAGATGTGCAGTTGCCGCAGAGTCTATCATCTTCAGGTAGTACCACACCTGAGAATTTGAACGATGCTGCGAAATCGGAGGCGGTTAATTCTTCGTTTCTTGTTGATGCATCGAATAGCGTCTCTGTGCCTTATGATCTTTCGCTTATCGATATCGAGATGGCTAATTACTCGGCCAAAGTGCCTTCGGCTAATGAATCCGAGACGAGGTGACATTTTACTAGGATTCTGTACATGTAATGAAATATTCATCTGTGTGACAGCTGTATTGGACATGGTGTCGCTTTTGTACATGAAATGAAATTCGTTGATTTCGATTTGTCGATTCGATTCGATTATGGCGATATATATCAATATATGTCTGATCTGTGGGTACATAATATGCATTATTGTGTATTCTTTCGCTTAAATTATCGTTATTGGTAGTTTTTTGCAAGGTGGGGTTTTGCACTACGCTGCAAAAACGTGTGCTCGTTTTCTTTATTTTGGCAATTATCCCGATTTTATTGTATTTGCTCTTCTGGAAATTCACGATTGATGAAAACAAGGATGTCGAATTAGGTCTACGAGATGCCACACCATGTGGAAAAATATTGGGTATGTGACAATGGTGCAAGATCATCCGGTGTATTTCAGTGGGTGTAGCATCTACGGAACCATATACAGTAGAACCTCGATAAATTAATACCCGATAAATTAATAACCTCGCTTAAATAATAAATTTTTCCGGTCCCGACTCGGGGACAACGTGCTAAATTAATAATTCGCTAAATTTATAAGATAATACACATTCGAAAATTTTAAGAAGCCCCATATAATATATAAATTAATAATGCATAAAAATAATTTTTAAATTACATGGTATAATACATATTTTATAGATATATGAAGGCTTAACACAATATAATTTAATTGTCGCTTGTTTCTTGTTGAAGTTCACATTACCATCAATCTCATTCCTCACTTTTCTTAACATGGTTAGACTTTCGGTATAGTTTTCTCGTAACTCAACATAAATCGTTCTATAGCATTGCTGTTTTAAGAGCTTCCGTTCGTGAAACGAGCTCTATAGTGCATTGAAGTAATAATACAATGAATAATATATACGTAAAAAAATAAAATAAAAATGTATTTATTATAAATAATAATAAAAATAATTTCATAAATTAATAAATTATTAATTAATGTATGAATTAATAATTATTAATTTATCGATAAGTTAATATTTCGCTAAATTAATGAAATTTTGATGGTCCCAACTGTATTAATTTATAGAGGTTTAACTGTAATTGTAATTTCATTTAAATTATAATAATATTATTGTCACGGGTCTACATATATTTTTCACTAGTGGGGGGTGAAAAAAGATTTTGTTTGTGAAAAAATATCTAATCCAAAAACCCCACCCACAAATATCCCAAGTGTAGGAACCTCAAAACAACCATTCAAAAACATTTACATAAACCCCTCCCTCCAACCTTATCATCTCTCTCTCTCTCTCTCTCTCTCTCTCTTCACTCCCACTCTCCATTTTCCCACCACCGCCACCGCCACCACCACCACCAACAATGGCTTGCTCTTCATCCATTGTTGGAGTCTCCTCAATATACCAGACCAACCCATCTCTCGAGAACTCCAGAAAACCACCGCCGCCGCCGCTCCACCCTTATCCCTTCATTTCTCCACCGCCCATTATCCCTTCAGAGCCTTTTCCTCCTCCTCCGCCGCCGCCGCCGCCCGCCTCAAGAATGGCGCCGGGGCTTCCATTTCATTCGTCCCTTCCGCTGTTGCTACCCCCAACTCGTCGGTTCTTAGCGAGGAAGCTTTCAGGGGGCTCGGTGGGTTCGGTAAGGGCGGCGCCGCCATCTCTGTCAGCGACGGCGAGTACGAGGATTCCGAGCTGGAGTTTGAAGCTGCGAGCGTCGACGAACTCGACATGACCAAATTGAAATTGCCCCGCCGCCTTGTCGAAACCCTCGAGAAACGTGGGATTAGTCAGCTTTTCCCTATTCAGGTTAATTTTTTTTTTTTTAGTTTTATTTTAATTTTCATAATTTTATTATTTTTTTGTGTAGGATATTTTTTGTTTTATTGCATGTTTTAGTATGAAGTGGTGTATGTAATTGTGCTTATATGGTAACGTAATCTTGATGAATTTTGAAATGTGGATAAGGTTGCTAAATTTTTATTTTTTTTTAAATAAAATAAATTCAAGATTTCGAATAAAATCTCGTATACAAGTTGAACCAATCGAGAAAAAAATATATTGAACTACTATTAGCATGCGCCCCATAATCGGATGCGTATGTTAAAAAGCGTAATCGTTAAACTCATAGTAGTGCTTAAATGAATTCGATTAATGTTTGTGCGAGCTTACTTGGAATTTGTCGTTGTATACGTTTTATCTAACCAATTATTGCACTCCACAACTTTTGCTTTACGCAGAGAGCTGTTCTAGTACCGGCATTAGAAGGTCGTGACATAATCGCCCGTGCAAAAACCGGTACGGGAAAAACACTCGCATTTGGTATTCCTATTATCAAAGGTCTCGAAGATTCCGAACAAACAAACGGCCCCCCAAGGTATATATATATACCTCGATAAATTAATAACCTAGCTTAAATAATTGTTTTTTCTGGTCTTGATTCGGAATTTAATATTTCGCTAAATTAATAGAAATTTTGTTAGTCTCGACTGTATTAATTTATAGAGGTTTAACTGGATGTATATTATTAGTCGATAAGGTGTTATAAATTATAAAAAAGAACACGTAAAATAACGGTTTTTTTTTTTTTTGTGTGTGTGAAGACGTGGTCGCCTCCCAAAAGTACTTGTACTTGCACCGACGAGAGAATTGGCTAAGCAAGTGGAAAAAGAATTCATGGATTCGGCTCCGTATCTGAACACTGTATGTATATACGGAGGTGTGTCGTATGTAACGCAACAGAGTGCGCTGACGCGCGGTGTTGATGTTGTAGTGGGGACGCCTGGTCGGATAATCGATCTTATTAGAAGTAATAGTTTGAAACTAGGTGAAGTCGAGTACTTGGTTCTTGACGAAGCGGATCAAATGCTGGCTGTGGGATTCGAGGACGATGTCGAGACTATTCTTCAGAAGCTTCCGCCGAAACGGCAGAGCATGCTTTTCTCGGCGACTATGCCTACTTGGGTTAAGAAACTCGCCAGGAAGTATTTGGATAATCCTTTGACTATTGATTTGGTAAGTTTTTATTATTTTTTTTAAAATTTTTTTTTATGAGAAGTGGAAAAACTATTTTGTTCCAAAGAAATTGGGAAAATCGGATACCGGGGCAATGTTTGGAAGCGTTTTGGATCTTATTTTGATTTCATTTTGAGGAAATATGTTTTGGGGGAATAATTTGAGAATGAAAGTAATGTTTGTTTGTATTTTGGAAGGAGACAAAATACACTGTAGCAGTCAAATCATGTTTAAAGGTGTTAGAAAAAAAGTATTTTTGAAGAAAAAAATTGAAAGATGAAGTGATGTTTATTTGTTTTCTAGTGAAGACATTTTTTACTGTAGCAGTCAAATCATTTTACTGTAGCAGTCACATCATGTCTGAAAGAGAGATAAACTTTTGAAATTGTTTTGAGAAAATGATTTGAAAAGTGTAATAAATCCCATTTTGTTTTGGGGAAACAATGAAAACAAAATAGAAATGGTTCCAAACATTTCCCGGAATTTCGTAAATTGGAACAAAAGAACTTGTACCAAAATCGGATATTCTGTTTTAAAAAAAATTGGAATCGGACTGGAAAGTTTTTCTAAATTAATGCATCTGGTTCAATATTGTAAAGTTTTTGTAACGAATTCCAATTTTGTTTCAAAAAAAGTTTGGGATAATCGGTTATCGAAATTTCCTAAATTGGAATTAAAAACCAAACTTGTTTCGAAATGGTTTTTTATTTTTATTTTTTAGGATTCGGCGGAACTTGGAAATTCCGTATTTTTGGTCACCATAGTACAAAACGCATAAGCATAATTGTTATTATTAGTGTAATTTCCGGGGAAAAAAGGTTGGAGTTTTCCGAAATTAAATTCGGACTGAAAATAAAAAACTAATAAGCATTCCAATTCCATTCCAAAAAAAATAAAAAATCAGAAATCGGAACTTTCGGTTTAGAATGAAAAATATTGCTCCAAATCTGAAATTGACTGAATTTGGATTTTGTTTTTCCGATTTCCGCCCCTAATTGTACTAATTAATGCATCTGGTTCGATATTCCAAAGTAAACGGTAAAAATATTTTCATGTAATGCATTGCATGAAATGATTTTTAGTCACACAACTTAACTTCTATTTCGATTCTCGTTTGACAGGTTGGTGATCAAGAAGACAAGTTAGCAGAAGGGATTAAATTGTACGCGATTCCAACCACATCAGCATCGAAGCGCACAATTCTCAGCGATCTCGTGACTGTACGAAAAACCCCTCAAATAAAAAATTCTTGATTTTGTGTAGTTCTTAATAAATTCGTAAATTTTAGCTTCTTTAATTTCGTACATTTCGTCTCAGGTTTACGCAAAGGGCGGAAAAGCCATTGTCTTCACTCAGACAAAACGAGACGCAGACGAAGTATCTTTGGTGCTAACAAACAGCATCGCCTCGGAAGCGCTGCACGGAGACATATCTCAACACCAGAGAGAAAGAACACTAAATGCTTTTAGACAAGGCAAATTCACCGTGCTCGTTGCTACCGACGTTGCCTCTCGTGGGCTCGATATTCCCAACGTTGACCTCGTAAGTTTCATATTGTAATCTCTGTCGATATACACAATCGGGTTTTATTGCATTCACCACCCCTCTAATTAATTATGTAATTTTTTTTTTCTGCAAGATTATCCATTACGAGCTTCCAAACGACCCCGAAACGTTTGTGCACCGATCGGGGCGTACGGGTCGGGCAGGGAAAGAAGGCACGGCACTTTTGATGTTCACCAGCAACCAACGAAGGACGGTCAACTCTCTCGAGCGTGATATAGGGTCAAAGTTCGAATTCATCAGCCCTCCGTCGGTTCAAGAAGTGTTGGAGTCTTCGGCCGAGCAAGTGGTTGCCACGCTCGGTGGGGTCCACCCCGAATCTCTCGAGTACTTCACTCCAACCGCTCGTAAATTGATGGACAAGCAAGGCGTTAGCGCACTCGCCGCTGCTCTAGCTACTTTGAGCGGCTTTTCTCAGCCTCCTTCGTCTCGTTCGCTTATTACACACGAGCAGGTATAAATGAGACAAATTCATTTTATTGAATCTAGCACCCTACGATCCAATTGTTTTAGCAAACGACCCCTAAAAACCCGCCAATTAGGGGGCCGTGTGCTAAAAAAATTGCATCCTTTTTTGCTAACATTTATAAAATGAGGAGTTCATTTAGCTGTTCGATATAACACGACACGGGTACTAAATGTGTGTAGTGCTTGTAGTAAATTTAAAGTACCGTTTCTTGTTTCGGGTGCAGGGTTTGATTACGCTACAGCTGTTGCGGGATACCGGTTCGTCGAGAGGGTATCTATCCACTAGAGCGGTCACAGGGTTTCTATCCGATGTTTATCCATCTGCTGCTGGTGAAGTTGTCAAAATACACGTCATCGCCGATGAAAAGGTGATTTGTGCCGTATATAAAAATCATTTTTTTTTAATGTATCTACATATCTATTCGAATCAAATTAATTTAATTCGATTCGATTCGTTGTGTGCAGGTCCAAGGAGCAGTTTTCGATCTCCCAGAAGACATTGCAAAAGAGTTGCTGAATGTCGAGCTGCCACCTGGCAACACCATCACCAGAATCTCTAAAGTAAGCTCCTTTTTTTTTTCTTTTTTTTTTTCTTTCTTTTTTTCTTTTTCACTGAAATTAAACTAAAGCCGTATTTGTTTATTTTGCAATATATGTTTTGCAGTTGCCTCCGTTGCAAGATGACGGGCCCGCAAGTGATTATTACGGTAGGTTTTCGAACAACGAGAGGCGCCCTCAAAGAGGCGGAGGAGGTGGCGGCGGCTCGAGGGACAGTAGAGGCGGCGGCTCGAGATCTTGGTCCGACAATGGTGGTGGTTCTCGCGGCGGCAGTAGAGATAATAACTGGTCTAAAAACTCGAGAAGCAGCGGCAGTGGCAGTGATTGGCTAGTTAGTGATAGGCGATCTAGCAGATCACCTTCTGGAGGCTCCAGAGATAGGTACACACACACACACACACACACACACACACACACACACACACACACACACAAATCAGAATTTTACGAGTTTCTGTTTTTTTTTTAAATTATTTAAAATGGTTCTTGATATGGATGAAAATGTAATTGGCAGAAACTTTAGCGGAGCATGTTTCTCGTGTGGAGAGAGTGGTCACAGATCGTCGGAATGCCCTACCAAGAAGGGTGGTTATTAGTTATTAGAAGAAGAAAAAAAAAGCAGTGATAAGTTATCAAGCCATTGCTAAAACCGAAGCTCTTGGCCCGATGGGCTTTTTTGGTAGAGCCGGTGTTTGTTGAAGGCCCGTTCACGGTGGGAAAAATACTTCGTGGAGATTTATACTTTGTTTGGTTAGGCTGATGATAATTTTGATGCTTGTTGTTAATCAAGAGACTGCTAATTCACCTTTATGTTCGACGGTGGTGATTTTTGGGTTTTACTTGATAGTGTGTTGTGTTCGTAGCAAAAGGAGATACGTTTATTCGTTTAATTATGTAGGTTTTGTATTACTCAAAACACTTGGTGATCTCGATCGAAAATTAGGAGTTTTTGTCGGCAAATGTTTAGACACGCTTCAGTCAAAATTTTTGTTGAATGTATCGTCGTTTAATTATGTTTATTTATTCACGTACATGGGCAATCTTTGTTTGTCTGCAGCGGCTGAATTTCGTTGTAAGTTCCCGTTTATCAATTCGGTTAGCAAATTAACCGTCTAGTGTCGAAGGACTACGCAAAGATGAAAATATATACATAATCAATCGTACAATAGACGCAATAGTTTTTACTAGGAAACCTCTATACAACGGAGTTGCCAAAATATTTTGAGTCCGAAATTGATACTGATATTGATAAAGAGAAATTTGAAAATTTGCTATCACGTTTTGTCTAATCTTTTCTCTTCTCTGTGTCGTAAAAACTTGTGCCGAAAACATATTATATTAAGGATATAGAATTAAGGAGCAATTACAAGGTGTGAATGTGTGTGTGTGTGTGTGTGTTTTTTTTTTTTTTTTTTTTTTTTAATAGAGATGAGTTATTAGTGGCAAATTCAGCCCTTCATCTTTTTCAAATTTACCGTCCCCACTAGGTGTGTGCACGTGTCGGTACTACTCGGTTTTTGCAATAAACCAAACACATAATATCGGTTTTCTATATTTTGAAAATCGAACATGTCGGTTTTTTTCGGTTTGGTGTTAATCGGCTTTTTGGTTTTCGGTTAACGATTTCGTTATCAATTCGGTTTATTTTCGGTTTCGGTTTCGTCTATCGGTTCGAATTGATTTGGCATAAAACCGATACATATTTGATTGACAGTGAATTTGGACTTTCATTACATTTGTTTGAGAAAATTAACAAATAACAACCCAATATTAACTAATAAAAAATATGTCACATGGAGGCGCTCGATAGAGGCGCGCTAGGGTAAGTATTTATACAATATGTCAAAACGACGTCGTTTTGTATAAAAAAATTCGGTTTGGTAATTTTTTTATCCTCTATGCACAAACCGATATTTCGGTTTTTCAAATTTTTTTTACCGTATATGCGGTTTTAAGTCCGGATGGTGCATATCAGCTCGGTTTTTTCGATTTTCGGTTCGGTTTTTCGATTTCTCGATTTTTTCGCTCACCCTAGTCCCCACTTTTCACTACACATTACCCACTACTTTGATGTCTTCTCATTTATTTTTCATATAATTTTAATTTGTGTTATCTATTCATATAAAAAAATAATAACTTAAAAAAAGTTTTTTAATTTTTTGTTTTTCTCAAAATAAATTAAAAAAAAAAAATCCGAAATCACCTATAAAATTTCCAAAAGCAACGATAAAAATCGTTTTTTTTTTATTTCATATTTTAATTTTGTTATTTATTTCATTTTTTTTGAAAATCAACTATAAACTATTGTAAACAATTGGAAAACCATCAACAGATTTACCAAAATTGAAAATTATTACATATTATTGAAATCAACTACAAGAAAATGGTAGGTACAGTCAATCCCCTTGGACTACGGGGTCCGATCCAAAATACCCCTAACTACAAACTGGGACAAATTGTATCCTTCCGTTAATGTTCCGTCTCCAAATGCTGGGGTGGATGTTTGACTTTTGCTTTATAACCCTAATTTAATTTAAAACCCTCAAATTAAAACCCTAATTTAGTGATAACCCCAAATTTTATTCAAAATCCTCAAATTCAAATTTAAAACCATCTTTAATTACTTTTTGCCCCAAATCAAAATTCATCTTCTTCCATTAACATACATCCTTAAACCATACATCCACATTATTAAATTCAAACGTTCATTTTCTGTAATAGACCCAAACGAGTTGGGCTTCCTTCCAAACGTCGGATTACTTCTATATGTCGGGTCTTTACGAAATTCTTCAGAAATGCGACCAAATTATCAAAGAGGAACGAGAAGAAAGAGTGAATGAGAGTTTTATTTATTGCAATTGTTGAGTGAGAGTGATCTAGGTGATGTGTTGAGAGAGAGACACAATAATATTGGTTTTTCTCTAAGTGTTGAGAGAGAGACAATCCAGTTGTTTTTTTTTTTTTGTTTTTTAACTTTTTTTTAAGTTTTTAACAGAAAATTTTGTTAATATTTTTGGCAGTTATTTACGTTGACTGAGTTACAGAAGAGTACCAACTGTCCCAGTATGTAATTTAGGGGGTATTTTGGGTCGAACCCTATAGCCCAGAGGGTTAAATGTACTTGCCAAAAAAATCAACTAAAACAATAGCACAACCCGAAATCATCAAAGAAAAAAATAATAAAACCCTAAAACATAATGAAAACAACTATATTGTTGTACGAAAACAACTATAAAAACATCATCTTCTCCTGCCAAACCCCTACCAAAGAATTCACAAGAGAGAGAGAGAGAGAGAGAGAGAGAGAGAGAGAGAGAGAGAGAGAGAGAGAGAGAGAGAGAGAGAGAGAGAGAGAGAGAGAGAGAGAGAGAGAGAGAGAGAGAGAAAGAATTCACAAGAGAGAGAGAGAGAGAGAGAGAAAGAATTCACAAGAGAGAGAGAGAGAGAGAGAGAGAGAGAGAGAGAGAGAGAGAGAGAGAGAGAGAGAGAGAGAGAGAGAGAGAGAGAGAGAGAGAGAGAGAGAGAGAGAGGAAAACTTCAAGGCTTGAAGCAAATGGTTAATCTTCACTTTGAAATCAATAAGATTGTTATGAAGCAATGGATCTAGATTGATTAGAATCGTCCATACATCATCACTCAAAGACGAAAAAAAAAAGAGAGGAAAACTTCCTATTCAAGCATTTTTTGTCCTTGAGGCGATGGGGAGCAGCGAAGAGTGGCATTTGTCAGCGCCAAATGGAGATGGTGACGGCGGGAGGCAAAGTCCGGTGAAGGTGGAGGGGGCGAAGATAACAATGGCTTGTGGAGAATGAAGAGAAAGAAGAAAAAATAGAGAAAATAGAGAACATGATAGATGAGAGAGACAACGGGTAGCTGAGTTAGAAAGTTTCTAGGACAATTGTTATAAGTAGAGCTAATATAGGTATAAGTATAACATCTATAATTATGTAAAATACTTAATTAACTAAACAACTTGAGGCATTTCACTAATAACAAAAATAATAGATCCATTCTCATATACACAAATGAGTTTGGGCTCCTCACTAATAACTTCTTTTTAGAATCTCAATATATGTTTTTTAGGAAAATATCTAGTATCTGGATTCTAAAATATCTAGATACTCTATTGGATGTTTAAGTAAAAAATTATAATTATCTATATTAAGATGCTTTGGCATAATCTTAACCATTTATTAGGAAAGTCACTCAATATAAATAGAAGTTTGTTCCGGGCATTGTATTTGAGAAACCAACTTTGTTAATAATGAAAATAATTTTTGGTGGATCAAATTCATCAGCAACATTTAATCATTGATATCCCCAATGTTTACATTACATACCCGTCACACTCTTTAATTGATGTGGTACTCAGTATAAGGTTCGAGCAAATGGGAGACCCGCTAACCAAAAACTAAAAAGATATTAAGTATTAGCCTGTGAGAGAATCGTGTTCGAATACGTAAATAAGGTTCTTTACATACGTGGAGCTTTTGAGTATAATTTCGACATCCTCTTTCGTTTGAGGTTGTTATATACGTCGTCTATGTCTCAATCAACTACATATTAAATTTCTTGTTTGTTATTCTTTATTTTAATTTATTCGTTATTTATTTATTTATTAGTTCAATGTAGATCTATTGCCGTATGCAGGGCCGTTCCTGAGATTTTGGGGGCCCCAGGCGAGATTTGAAGACGACAAAAAAATAGGGCCCTTCTACAATATACAATAAAACTTATTTTTTTCAAAAAAGGTAATAAACTCGATGTTAACTCGATTTTGTAAGTTACATAGCCGGTGGCAAGAGTATAAATTTGTTATATAGTGGGGTTCAAGTTTTTGGGGGTTCGGGGGCAGTGCCCCCGATTTTTTTGAAGGATAATTTGCATGAAGTAGCACTAAAACAAGTGAATGTATATAAAAATAAGTAACTAATACATTATAAATTTAATAATTATGGGCCCCTGATTAGAGGAATTATAGAAACAAGTAGTAATGATAGATTTATATCTATTTATGAATTAAGGTTCTCAATAATTATATATACATAATATATATTTTTTTTCAATAAATGTTCATATATAAATGGTATAAACAATTTTGGGGCCCTAAATTTTTGATAAAATCCGGGGGCCCTAGGCGACCGCCTACTTCGCCTCCCCTCAGAACCGGCCCTGGCCGTATGTGTTTTATAATTATTATTGTAGTGTCATTGGTCCGCTCATTGGAACGAACCCAAGATGCGATAAGAAACCCTTAATATAAACCATTAAAAGAAACCTTGTTGTGAAAAGAAAAATAATGTCCATCTCTTCGTAAGCGCTTAAGATATACACAACTTAAAATATATTTTATTAGAATATATATTTTATTATCGAAAAATTGACGCTTAAACTATATCTTCTCCAACATACTACCCGCTCTATCTTCCCCAAATCATTAGGAATAAAATTTCGCAGGAAAAAATCCCCCGACCATAAATTGATTGTGTTTTGCTTCTTCATTTTTTCATTTCAATTTCAGTTTGTTCGATTTTGTTCTCAGCTTTACTGTTCGTATGTTCCATGTGCGATTTTCCAAAAATTGAATCTTGTGCGAGTCTCATAGTAAGTGAAAGAAAAAGAAACCTTTCTTTTTCTAATTTGGTCAAAGATTTTGTGTCAATGACTAGATAAGGCAAAAAAAACATAGTGAACTCATCGTTTTTTTGTAAAATTTGCCAGAATGTTTTTTATTTGGTTCATAATCGCAGGGAAATGAGGTTGAAGACATCCCATAATATACTCACACTCAATATCAGTAAAAACCTAAAATTTGCATGCTTCAGCACGAGATATATTTACAGTAAACGGGCTATTATAGTCTTGGAGTTATTACAAATAACTATTTTTGATATATTGCTTTATTATATTGATGGTTAGACGCATAGGCTGCTTTCTTGATTGTCGTTGGAAAGTTGCTAGATTCACATAAATTTGTGTTGTATTTGTGATTTTAGATTCGAAAACTAACATAGTAAAGCCTGAC